GTTGTCCTGTCGTCGTCGCGTCGTTGTCCTGTCGTCGTCGCGTCGCCGTCCTGTCGTCGCCTACCTGTCATCGTGGCATCGTCCACCTGTCGCCACGGCCTTGTTCCTTTGTCGTCAGCTGCCAAAGGCAATGGCGTCAGCTTTTTGCCTAGTGACTAACACATACCTTCAGAACTTAGATAAATAATTACTGTCAGATTTATATAGGGTCTGAGGGACAATAACACACTGTTTCGGCAACTGGGCTCCTAAGTACCACTTACGGGCGAGTACCGTGGAGGATACTCAGGTTCGAATTGCCGAGACCTGGGGTAATCAGATAGACAAGTTTAGCTATCTTACAAACTCTAAACCCTACACCCTAACATTATAAATCGTAGAACTCATCTTACAAACTCTAAACCCTGAACCCTAAGTCTATAACTCTTATAACTTGAAACCCGACCTACTCAGCCCCGTGATCCTCCCCGTGTTATGGGCTTTCCTCTCGCGACGTCTTCCGTGCGGCCGTCCGGTCTGCTCTTCGAACGATCTCAAAAAAGACCCCGCAAGGCTAAACTCGACCAGCAAACCCTACACCAAGATCCTACACCGAAGCCCAGAACCCCCAGAAACAGACCCCGAAACCCTGAGCCCTGAACTTGAGAGACCTCAAACGAACGCTGACCTGAACCCTAAACCCTAAATCCCAACCCCGAGAACCCCAAAACACCCAAACCCTAATCCCCAAAATCCGAACCCTTAAAGGAACCCTTAGAGGCTCCCCTAAAAAAGGAGACCCCGGCAACCCCCCCAAAACCCCAAAGCTCTCGCAGCCTTTTCTGCTTTCTTCTTCGCCGGAGCCGGGTCTGGAGCCTGGCTTCGCTGTAATTTTGGGGCCTTAATAACTAGAAAAGGGGTTTCGGGGTATATTATACTACAGTGATAACAAGGAACCACCAAAATAGTATGGGTACATGTTAAGGCCCCGATATTGGTTTGTTTGTGGGTTTTCGTGGAGGGTCTGGAGTTTATAGAGTTTTTTCGATCTGAATAGGTCCAGGGTTTAGGGGTTTGGGGGTCCGAATATGGGTTTCCGGGGTTTGGGGTCTAAATATGGGTTTAGAATGGACGTAATAGGTTCCTCAGGTAACCGCTGAATACGAGGGCACAGTGCATATGCGGAAGCTGAAAGACACTTGACACAAAATGGGTACTGCTGACGGATTCCTAAACCCTAAACCCTAAACCCTAAACCCTAAACCCCTAAACCCTAAAAAATGAAGGGCCTCAAACTCTCAGGCATCAGATCTTAGGGAGTTCGATTCCCGGGGTAAAGACGTCAAGGGGCCTTGTGGTTAAAGTCTATTCGCAGAGAGCCCAATACCCCTTGGTTAAGGAGTATACCTTCAACCATAATAGTCAGGCCCCTCTCATTTAAGGTATATTCCTTATTTAAGGGATATTGGGCCCTAAACCCTAAACCCTAAACCAAGCAATGGGATGGACGATGGTTCTCTAAGGGTTTGATCGTTTCGGCCGGGAGGCTGAAGCTTTCTAAATAGGTTTAGCGTTTAATGACCCTGCCCCTAAACCCTAAACCGTCAACCCTAAACCCTAAACCCTAGCCTAAACCCTAACCCTAAACCCTAACCCCAAAGGCCTAAACCCCAAGCCCTGAGCCCTAAACCCTAAGGCCCCCAATCCTAACAGAAGGGTTGAGGCTTTCTGGTTTGTGGGGTCCGGATTTAAGGCTCCAGGCCCGATGCGCTCTCAATCGCTTTAATGTGGGGGCCTTACTAATCAGAATAGGGTTTTGGGGGGGTATATTGTACTATACTTATAA